ATGTAATATGGAAACTAAAAATTCTAATTTTAGTATTTCTGAATTAGGAAAGAGGTCCAGATCTAATAACCTAAACCTCTAGGGTCTAGGATAAACAATCTAAACCCTGGGGCTCAGGTTAAGTTTTCTCTACAATAATACATTAAATCAGTGAATCATGTGTTTACTATATTATATTAAATCATGTGTAAATCACGCATTTATTTTATTGGTTAATAATCACTGGTGTTAAACACTGGTGTAATTTAGCAATGCCGTTTTTTTTTATCAAAAAAAAAAAAAAGAATTGTTTTTTTTTGTTTATTTATTTTCGAATCCATTTTTCCGTTCATCGTTCTCTCATATGATTTACCGATAAAGGAGCCAAAAATTGGATTCAAAAAATAAACAAATAAATGAAAATTAATTTTTTTTTATCAAAAAAAAAAGAATTAATTATTTTTTTTTTTTATTTATTTTCGAATTCATTTTTTCGTTCATATGGCTCATATGGCTTATGGATAAAGGAGCTGGATAAAACAAAAAATTCAAACACATGATCCTCTTTTATTTTTTTATATAAAGGACATTTGTTCTTAGGGGGAGGGCGGGCGGTCTTTAATCGTAATCGTAATGGTAATGGTAACGGTATCGGTGACAGAAATCAATACTCATCACCATTACCATTATCATTACGATTACGATTAAAGATTAAAGATTATTTTAAAAACAGACCCAATGTTTTTCCTTTTTCGATAAAAAAAAAATCTTGCCAAAAAAGAATATAATGGGCAAGTGTTTTGAACACAACGAACACAAATTTACTATTAAAAAAACCACTAATTTGGAAAAAGATTCAGTCTGTTCTGTATTCTATTTATAATTTAATAATGAAATCTAGCAATGTTTATTTTCATTTTTTTGTTCAGTTGACAGAACTTTAACACATTAGCTCCTTTAAAGTTTTACTTTGAAATTACATAGTCATCCTAATGAGATACAATGTCTATGGAAGAATTAATTAGACAAATTTGAATTATTTGAATTATTTGTAAAATTTTCTATAATAATTATCGATGATTTAACTAAATTAACATTGCTAATATGTAGTACTTTTGTAACGATTAATAAATAAATAATTAAATTAAATTTTTGACCAAATAAAGAAAAAAAAAAAAATCAAGACGAATAAGATTTTTCATTATAGGATGGAGCGGCGATAACTCTAACTTCTTCAATAATAAAACTTGATATATAAGGACCAAAACTCATAGTGGTTATTCCTTGACAACTTGATCCATAATATTTAAGGCAACCAGGTAAGAAACGTACAGTGGCAATAACATTGTATTCTGGAGGTATATCAGTTAATTCAACCTTTTCCGTATGAGCCAAAGCTAATTTATTTTAGAATAATAACAAAAATATATATTTTCAGGTTAAAACAAAAAATAAATATAATTGAATGTAATGTAATTATAAAAAAAACAACCTTTGACAACATCAGAATCATCAGTGTAAATAAAAGTTCCCCAAGCTTTAGTATCATCCCTTGTGGCATTAGTAATGGTAAGCCATTGACTTTCGACTAGAACTTCAAAAACATCGCCAGGTTTTCCTTTGGAAACTTTTGGGTAAGTATAGAAACCATCAATAGCCTTTTTTTAATAATAAAATAAAATAAATTATTATTATTGATAAAAATAATAATAAAATTAAAAAAAAAAAATAAATATATTTAATTACCTTTTGTTTGACAACCAATTCAAATATTGGTACCTTTGAAGATTCCATTGCCAAAGCTAATTCATCTTCAAAAGTAACCGCAATATGATCTTGTTCGTCTAAATAATAAAGCTCTACTCTCTTGTCATAGCTAACGTCAAAACGTTCACGTAACTATTTATTTTAAAGTGTTAATTTAATTATGAAATTAAATGTTTTTTTCTAAAAATGTTCGATACTTTATTTACATGAAAAATAACAATAATTATAAAGTTTATAAAGTTAACCTTGTATTCTAATTCTTCCAGCTTAATGTTTTTATCAATAACAATTTTACGAGCCACTTGTCCTTCATCAACATTACATCTCGCTTTAATGATAATAGTTTCTTCTTGATCCATATTTGAAGAGTAAAAAAAAAAATCAAGAAATTTTAATAACAAAAATTGACTATTTCCTAAAATTCAAAGTAATTTAAAGAATATTTATAACTCTTTAACAAAATTTCGTCAAAGTATATTTAAATAAAAAATTTCCATATTGAATTTATCATTATATATATAACATTCCAAAAATATATTTAAATAAAAATTTCCATATAGAATGTATAACATTATTTCTGTGCGAACTATTAAAAGAAAATAAATAAATAAATTATAACTTTTATTAACACTTGATTTTCAAAATTCAATTTAAAATAATTTTTAATATCCGAGTTTTATAAAGAATAAATAGTTCTTTTTAGTTCGTCAATTCAAATTTCATTATATTGCATTATTTAAAAATCCAAAAAAAGTTATTAAAAAGGATCCAAATTAGAAGTTTAATTCTTTTCTTTAACACGTGATTTAAATAATTTATGATATACAAATGAAAATCTAATTAAGTAAATTAATTAATACTAAAAAATTAATTTACATCAGCCATCGTGTCGATATTTTGTAGAGTTGCTAAACTAACATCTATTAATATGCCTTTTTCTGACGCCTATTTAAGTAAAAATAAATAATAATGTAATTAAATTAAATTAATATAATCTTTTAAATTATGAATGAATAACAGAATTAAAAGTAAAATTCATACAATGGCTCGCTTATAATTCTTAAACCCTCTCATAAATTTTTGTCTTATTTCAGGTGATCTAATTCCCAAAGATTCTAAATCTTCATTTTCCATATCTATAATCTCTTGCCATTTTTTACCTTGAAAATATACCCAATAATTCCCAAGTTGATCATGAATTGCATTGAACCAACAAGGTAAATCTAATAAAGATAAAAATTAATTTATCTATACCTATGTATCGATGAATTTAACAAACAATTCAAAATTTATCTTACCATTCATTATTTCATAATCGAGCCTAAAATTTTTGAGGTCATCAATTTGGTCGTATTTATCTTTTTTTTGAATTTTAGGAGGCTTCATGAAAAGTCCCTTTAGAGAAGCCTAATTACCAATAGTTACATCCCATTTGTCAATACAAATTTTTAATAATAAATATTAACATTGTTTATTAATACTTACCAAATCTCTTTGAACCTTTTGAAAATGATAAATTAATCTTTTCCTAAGATTTTTATTATATATACCTAAATTTTCTAAATCTTGTTCATTGAATTCTATAATATCTTGTAATGGCATACCCTCAAAACGTGAAACTAAAGGTTTCAATCCTGCACCTTCAAGCCATAATGGGAAGTCTAATAATAATGAAATGGATTTTTTTTTTTTTTTTTTTGATGAATAAATTGAATAAATGAAATGATCTGAATATAATATGATATCAATAAAGGTACCGTTTAATAATTCAAAATTAGTTTTTTCAATATAATTTTCTTTATGATAATTTTTAACTTGTTCATAAAGTTTATCTGCTTCATAGTTTATTATCTATATAATAATATAGAATTTGATATTAATGCCTATTATTAAATCAAAAATTTAAAAGTGAAATCAAAATTAAAAAAATATTTAAATAATTTATTAATTACCAGTGCATTTTTATAATACTTAAATCCCATAATGAATGCGTTTCTTACAATTTTTCTACTAAGACCCATCAATTCTAAATCTTTATTTGTCATATTTATAACTTGATTCCATTTTTTATTTTTGAAAAATGGTGAATAATTTCCAAGTCCATCTTTAAAAGAGTGAAACCAACAAGTTAAATCTGAAAGAAAAAATAAATAGTTTTTTTTTAAAAAAAAATGGTTATTAATTATAACGTATGGTGCAAAAGGAAAGAAAATATTCAAATCACCTTGTAATAGTTCACGATCAATTGGTAAATCTTTATCTTTATAAGAATAATTTTCTTGCATTTCAGGTATTTGTTCTTGAGAATCTTCATTCTTGAAAAATAAAAATAAAACCAATAATAATAATAATTATGATGATAATAATAAGAATTTAAATAAAAAGTTATTAAATATCTTACAAATATTTCAAATATTTGATTATTTTATAATTATTTTCATATGAAAAATATAAATAATGTAAATAATGTAAATACTTGCCATGCTTTTTTTTACCAAATTAAAATGTTTAATTAATCTTTTCTTAAGTTCCATACTATAAATTCCTAATTCGTTTAAATCATCCATATTCATTTCAATAATTTCTTGCCACGTTTTTCCTTTGAATCTTGGTGCTAATATTTTTAATCCTAAGCCATCAAGCCAAGCTGGAAAATCTATTAATTACATAATCAATTATATTGTTGTGTTGATTATATTATTAATTATTTGTATTAATAATTTATTAAAATTATAAATAAATAAAATTATTTAAAATTAAGTAACTATTTTTAAAATACTTTTCAACAATTTAAAATCAGTTCGCTTTTCGTAATGTGATCTGTAATAAGCAAGTCTATTCTTAAATATACTTAGTGCCTTTTTATCTATTGACTAAATTTAAATGAAGTTAAACAAATTTAAATAAAGTTTATAAAGTTATATAAAGTTATTTAAAGTTATATAAAGTTATTTAAAGTTATATAAAGTTATTTAAAGTTATATAAAGTTATTTAAAGTTAAATAAATTAAATAAAGTTATATAAATTAAATAAAGTTATATAAATTTAAATAATAATAAATTTAAAATAAAAGAATTTAACATAAAATATTATTTACCGGTATTGTTCTTTGGGATGCAAAATAATTACTTAATATCTTTCTAATTTTCGGATTTCTAATGCCCATATTTTCTAATTTTTCATCATCCAAGAATAAAAGATCATCCCATTTTAAACCCTGTAAATATGGGTAATAGTTTCCACAACCATCATCAATCATATGAAGCCTGGCTTCAATATCTAGAGTCAACTATTTTAGAAAACATTCAAAAAAAAAAAAAAAATAAATAAATAAAAACAATTCAAAACAATTTTTCATACCTTTTTTTATTTTATAATGAAATTTCGAATATCCAATAAGCTCTTTTGGTTTAGGTGGTAAAGTGATTCCTTTCTCAACCTCCTGTTCTTCATATGAAAATTAAAATTAATAAATGTATTTTTGATTGATTTGATTAAAAAAATATCTTGATAAATATGAATACAATTAATATACTTACTAAATCTCTTTGGACTTTAGCAAAATGTTTAATTAATCTTTCCCTAATATTTTTGTGACGAATACCTATATGATTCAAGTCTGCTTCATTTAATTGAATAATCTCTCGCCAATCTTTATCTTTGAAATTTGGTGCTATTAATTTTAGACCTATTCCAGTGAGCCACGTTGGAAAGTCTAAAGGTATAGATATAAATATATTTGATATACATTATATATATTTTATATATATTTATATAACATATTTATATAATATAGATATCACAGTAAACATTTTATCAAAAATCTTTACCCTCTAACAATTCAAAGTTAGTCATTTTGGCGTAATTCTCGATGTAATACTCTGCATTTCTTTCAAAAATAGCATCCGCTTCTTTTATTTTTGATTCATTGATAATTTCTTCATCGAAAATTTCTTCTTCAATAATTTCTTCTTCTTCAATAATTTCAGTATTTTGATTATTTTCTTTATCGACAATTTCAGTAGATTCATAATCAATAATTTTATTATTCATTCCACGTTTAAAATTAATTATTCCATATTTAATAGTATTATTATTCACATGCGTAACATCATTATTCGAAAAGTTTTTTAAATCATAAATTAATGAGAATTTAATGTTTGTAGAAACGATGATGGGATGCAAATGAGAAATTTTATGAATAAAAAATCGGAAACCAAAATTGGGACATTTAAATTTCAGAGAACTTGTGGTTCCCTGGGAAAAACGATTTATTGAAAACATTTTTTTAAATTATCATCACGGACGATTACCGAGATCTATATCATTTGCACAAAAAAAAATCACAAAAATCATTTGATTGGTTGATAAAAACAACCATTTCTAAAGAGATAAAGGTTTTATGTGATGTTATTTTTTGATTTGAGCTCGCTAGGACAATCAATTTGCCGAAACGGATGGGCTTTTTTAAATGCTTCTAATTCAAGTAATTTATCAGATATACGTTGAATAATTGGAAATGGAGTTAAATCGACTTTGAATCTGAATCATATAATATAAAATTAATTTAATTAATTTGTTTAATTCAGAGGAAAGAAACAAAAATAATAAGAATAAAAAAAAAAATACCTGTTAGCATTAAAAACTTGTGGTACAAGACAAATATCAGCAAGAGTAACTTCATTCCCAACACAATAATCATCCGCTACTTCTTTAAGTTGCTTTTCAATTCCTTGTAAATATATTTATATATTTAAAATCATTTTTAATTTAAAGAACGTATTGAATATCTAGTGATTTATTTACTATACCTTCAAAAATATAAGACATCCAATATTTGGTCCATTCTTCCTTGCGATCGTCACCAAGATAATTTAAAATTCGTAAATTGGTGACTGGTTGAGTATCACTAGCAATTGCGAGAACAAGTGATCTTACCTATTATTATCGTCACATTATTATTAATTATAGTAAACAAAAAAAAAAAATAAAAATAATAATAATCTCTTTTAATTAAAAATAAAAATAAAAAAATAAAAAAAATAAAAATAAAAATAAAAATAAAAAATAAAAATAAAAATAAAAAATAAAAAATAAAAATAAAAATAAATTTTTTACTAAAGCTCTTTTCCCAGGTTCTTTAGGTAACACTGGTTTTTCGGGACGAGTCTCTTCAAGATACTCAATTATTGCAAGTGATTGAGTTAATACTAATCCATCAATTATTAAAGTTGGTACTTCTTTAAGTGGATTAAGTTTAGAGTATTCTGGCGCTTTCTGATATTTTTATAATATTCAATTAAATATTTTTCGAGAATTTTTTTTATAAACCCCTCTCTCTCGCATATACTTATGTTTATAATATAATAGATATTTATATATTTATTTTTATTTCAAACCTGTTCTTCTTTTACTAAATTCACAGGTTTAATTTCATAATCGATTCCTTTCCAATTTAAAACAGTACGAACACGCCAAGCGCATGATGATCTAAAATACGAATAAAGCACTGGCTTTTCGTGATGATATTGAGGATTTGACATTTTATCCTTTAATAAAAGTTAAAGTTTGAAATGAATAATGCTTGTATTTATATTGTTTATAATATGCAGGCGTTTATCTAATTGTTAATCTTAAAATGTTAATCTTAATTGTTAATCTTTAAACTATATTTTTGTTACAGTATCGTTTATACTGTACAATTTCAATATAAATTGTCAATTTCCACTCGAGCGATAACATGAGAATAAGCCTGCTCGTTTTTTTGAAAATTTTTTTGTTATTAATGATGAATGATATCTTGAGGCAATAAATTTAGAAATAATAACAAAATCAGCAATAACAAATAGTAGTTATGATCTAAATTTACTTCAGATTATCAAAAACAAAATAACCACTTAATATTCATTAAAGTTCATCATCACTGGTGATTATAACAAATTAGAATATTTAAGGATGATAATCACTTCCGATTTTTTTTTAAAACCAAACCTTATTCTTTTAAACCTCTTATAATCAAGTTCACATGCAATTGTAACTTTACAAACATTGCAAATTGATGTTTATAGAATTTCATTTTGTCATTTAAACCACATGGTGTCATGCTACAAAAAATCTCTAATAAAAGAAGGCATATATATGTATAATAGCATTATCTATCACTTTTATTTAATTTAAATGAAAAAAACAATATTCTATAATTGGAAATTAACATCAATATTGGTATACCATTTTTGGGATCAAGAGGCAATAATTATATACAATAAGAATTACAAGGAAAATTAATTAAACAAAATCTAATGAAAAAGATCTTTAATTAATGATAATGATAATATTAATAATGCTTTCTTTGCTTTTAATTTTTAGATTTCTTGCAAAGGAAATGATAATAAGAGTGAAAAATAATATCTCGGAAAATAAAAAGCATACCAATAGGAATGACGAATTTTGGAAAGAATGAAACATCTTTAAGCAAAAATGGATACTTCTACCTCTACAGATTGAAACTTTAATCTGTAAGAAATAATTTAACATTTATTACTCCATCAATAGCAATATTCCCGAATCCTCTAAAATGATCTAGTGATTAAATAATAAATATTAAGGTAAACATATTACAAAAAAAAAAAGGCATGCAGATCATTTCTGTAAATGCTGGTGAGAAGCTATTATAGTGCTGGTAGAAATGATCGACGCCTACTATAGGAATTCGTCCTGAAACTATAGTTGGTGCGAATTCAAAAAAGGAAATATTAACAATAGCATTGTTAATATTTCGGCAAAACTTACTTAAACGATTTTCATTATGTTTTGTTTTAAAAGATTGTTTTAAAGATTATATTTTAGAGTTTACCTTGGATCATCATACCTTCAGAGGTTATTCACCCTTCGACCCTACTATAATTCAGTGGACAACCAGTATGACTGGTTTTGTCATAAATATATCTAAAAAATTTACATATATTCTTGCCGGCCGCATTTATATCCCTTCAAATAAAAAATAAAAATTCTCATTTCAACTCATGAAAAAGTTGTTTAATGGCACTACTTTTTTTTTTTTCCAAAATTCTACATTTTTTTTTTGTTTTCAATACCATTAGTCAAACTTATATAATTAGCATAATGAAGGAATGTATATGGAATGGTACATTTTTAAGCTGCTGAATATTTTTATTCTATTTAAAAATTAAGACAAAATTAAATTATTATATTATTTATGTTTTTTTTTGCAGTTTTTTTTTAATATTCTTTAATTAGTAACAAAATAAATCATAACAACCTGGATCTAATTCTTTTGTACAAAGAGATATTTAAGTCCATTTGTTTAAAAACTTTATTCATGCATTGTCTCCAATTTTTTTTTCATGTTTTTAGTTTCCAATAGCAGTAGTAATAGTAGAAAATACAATTCCCGCCTTGAATGACAAACGTTTTCTCAAAAAAATAATAAATGTGTTTGTAAATACTGCAGTAGAAAATTTTATCATCAAATTATACGTTAAAGAAATATTTGATCATTTTTATCATATCGCTTGCATAAGGCGAGATAAAAAATTGTCGTCGAAATTCGAGAAGTTCCTCCGCCACCATACAATCCATATGAATTCTTCAGCTTCTACTCGCCTACCGTTCATTCAAGTAATCACCAAAAAGGTGAAGTTAAAAAATACAATATTCACCATATCAATTAGAAAATCAATCCCCACAAAATTATCATAATTCTCACCACCGACAACAACACTTCCAACACATTCAATGATTATAACGGAAATCATTTTACTTATCTAAATTCATGGACTAGCTGTTTTTATTTTCTTATAGTTTCTCCTTTGATCACATTTTTCGCTTTCTTTTGGGTCACAATTACATTCTTTGCTGCTGTGATCTCTTTAATATGTCCCCCTATTGGATTCTTCATATGTGTTGTTAGTGTATGGTCATGGCGTGCACTTGGTCGTCTTGAACTACTTTTTGTACGAATTTGTATTTTTTATGTTTCTAATCCTCATTATTCAACTAAGAGACGACAATTTCATAAAATAATCACAAATACAAATAGTTTATTACAATATGGAAGAAAATTATTTTCAAACGGATATACTTAAAGTTGTTTTTCATATTTTGCATTAGTTAAACCTTTATCATTTGTAATTTCATGGGTAATGATACTAGCTTTATTTATTTTGGCATTTAGTCCACTTATGTTATTTACTATGCCTTTGATGTGTATGGTATGTAGAAAACTTGGGAAATGGCAAGTTTTACTTGCAGATCATTTTTTATTAATTAATTAATTAAATATTTGTAAAATGTGTAAAATTATTTTAATATTAAATATGGATATTAAGTAGATAATATATAATAAATGAATATTAAGTAGATAATAAATAATATATAATATGAATATTAAGTAGATAATAAATAATATATAATATGAATATTAAGTAGATAATAGATAGTATATAATATGGATATTAAGTAGATAGTATATAATATGGATATTATGTAGATAATATATAATACATAATTTACATTACATTAAAAGATTTACAAAATATAAAATATGCAATAATACTTTCATAGAAATAAAATTACTTTTTGCCATCATCATAATTCTTATATGTTTCTTGTAATATGAAATGAGCGACATCACAATCTGTCCAATAATTTAGATGTACGGATATCGCTGAGAGATAACCAACATCTAATATTCCTTCCTATAATTTATAATTTATAATTAATAAATTTCCTAAATTTATTTATTTTGATATTACTAAAATAAATAAATAAATTATTTACCTGTAAACAGTAATCAATTCTTCCACTTTTATTCAAACTTTTCAACCTTTCTTCCCCAGTGTTCTTATAATCCAAATCTTCTTCTAACTGCGCAGACGTTGACTTCCGTATTTGATAAGATTTTCTCCTTGCTTCTGCCGTCAATCCAATTACACTTCCATTTGCATCTTTATACAAACTACTCGCGTAAATGCTTCCTCCAGAATTCAATACAGTTGATTTTCCATTACTATCTACACTATCCCTCCTTTTATTATCTATAGAACCATTACAATTGTGCAAATTTTTTATACAACTCTTATGTAATTCACTTCCATTTCGTTTCTTAAAACTTCTACCATTAATCCCACCTCTACGGACGATATTTGTTCCGACATTCTGCACATTCATTGCACCACTATTTCCATTTCTCGTCATCTCAACGGGCAATGACGCACAGCTACTACTAGAATTACCAGCCAACATTGAATCGGACCTGATTTGCTCAAGCTGCTTTTGTTTGGTTGATTGTTGAACGGATGTGTCAGAAGCTTTATTGAAGGTTAACGAATTACGGATATTGGAAAAAAAGCTGGATGTTTTGCGGGATAAATTGGAACTGAATTCCCGAAAACCCAGTTGGACAGCTTTTAGTCCACCCTTATGATATGGGATGAGTGCTGGTTTTAACGATTTACAGTGACGAGATATTAATGGTTCTAAAATATATAAACATTTTTGAATTTTTAACGTTAGCTTTAATTATTTACATTTATAATTTCTTATTTTTTAATAAAAATACTATACCAAGACGGTACGCGATAGGATCTACATATGAGTCCACAAAGTAATGGTCAATATTTGTTCATTTTAAAAAAAAATTTCAAAAAAAAAAAAAAAAAAATGCAATTCACCTGATTTATGAAATATATTATAAATATTATTAACAGCTGGATAACAAAGCGGTATCAAACTCGTTTGGTCCTGCGACATTAATTGATCCTTGTTTAAATTTTGTCTTTTCTTTTTTTGACTATTCATCATAGTTCTTCGATATTTAAATTCTGAATTTCCTTCAGAACTATTATCACTTTTACCATTTAAATCTATTTCATCATAACTATTCAAATTAACTTCTGACCAATTGTTCGATTCATTAATCTTGTTCAATGCATCGTAATACTTTCTTGAACCAATTTTCACTCCCTTCAACAACAAAAATAATCCAATCGGGGATCCAACACTGTACAAAGTTTCTGCTTCAAAATCTAATTTATACTTTAACTGTTGTAATCGATGTTCATCATTGGAATCTCGAGAAAGACATTCAGGCTCATCGTACAATTGATTAAAAAATTTGTTTCCAGTGAATTTTTTTTTTTCGTTCCATTCTCTAGATTGATTAATGCCATTAATTCCATTGTTGCAGTTAAGTCCGTCACGACCATTTAATCTCATTCCATCATCAGATATACCATTTATAGCATTTACACCATTTACACCATTTATACCATTTATACCATTTACACCATTTATACCATTTATACCATTTATACCATTTACACCATTTACACCATTTACACCATTTATACCATTTACACCATTTACACCATTTATACCATTTACACCATTTACACCATTTATACCATTTACACCATTTATACCATTTATACCATTTACACCATTTACACCATTTACACCGTTTATACCATTTAAATTATATAGATCACCTGATGTATACCTAGATCCGTTACTAATTCTATGGTGTCCATTGTTAATATTAGAATGATGGAAATCATTTTGCGGGCAAACACCAAATATACAATCGAGATCATTATTAAATGGTGAAGTTAAAATAGATTGATGACAAAGAACATCAAATGCCACTAATGAACCGAGAGAATGACCATAAATGGAGACTTTTCCTCCAATTTTTAAAAAATTTGGATTACGATCGATGAATAGGTTATATACACGATTCATCTCTCGAACTACAATTTTGAGTATCATGTCTCGAAATTTAGGTGTCATGTATAACAAAACTATATAAATAATTAAATATCAATAATATCAATAATTGAGAATTTGAGAATTTTGAGGATTTAATACTTGGAAATTTATACATACCATCTACCAAAGCGTCAGAAATTAACATCCTTAAATTCGGAACGCTATCCAATTTAATTTCATCTAATGTGGGCTGACCTTCACCAAAGGATAAACTTAAATCATGTAGTGTTTGATCTTTCTCTGATGCCATACCGAACTTTTTCAAAAAAAAAAAATCGAAATCAATTTTTTGGAACCATTCTAAATACTAGTATAGCCAATTGATACTTTTACTTAGATTACTTATATTTTACTCCTCCGATAAATAAATTACCTTCCCAAATCTTTACATCTTTTCGATTCAAATTACCTTAATATCCTGTCGCCAATTTATAGGTAACACCTGAATTCCATTGCCAATTTGACTTCCCTTCTCAAATTTACTTCTTCCATTATTGGAATTTATCTTGCGATCAGCCAATCGCGCAGCCACATCTGATGGCGGATTGGAGGCATAAATTTGTTTTATTGTACGGCGAAGAAGATTTACTTCTATAAATTTGTAAATAAATTTCCAGTAAATATTGAAATTATATAAATATTATAAATACTTTATATAAGTAAAAAACGCACCATTAACAAAATTTGGACTTCTTTTTTTCTCATTTAATTTCTGTCCAATGCTATTAATTATTGAAAAATTATTAATCTATATAAACTAAGGAAATTCCTTTCTTTAGAATCATTTTTGGCACCCTTCAATGTGATTCAATAATGGGTAGTTTTGAATGTAATAAAAAAATTCACATTTTTTCTCAAGATAACAAAATCACTCACCCATGTATGCAAAGAATCAAATGATCTATCTCACGTTCTGGTTCCTCTATTTCTTCATAATCCTCTATTTCCCGTTTTTGATGATTTAAATTATGCAATCTTTTATTATCATCATCTAAGTTACTATTATCTTTTAGTTTTTCCATATCAATTTTGGTATTATCTTTTACAGCAGCTGAATTTTTTAATAAATATTTTTCTACTTCCCAATAACCCCTTAACAATTTTACTCCACCAAGATGTTCCCCATTGGTAAAACTAGAAAAGAAAGTTTTAGATAATTTCCCAGTTAAATCATCACTGTTTATTCAAGAAATATGAAGATCAAGTAATTGAAGTTAATAATAAATTCATAAATTCATAAATAAATAAATAATAATTTATAATAAAAAATTAGAAAAAACGATTATATAAGAAAAACCATTTTAGATAAAAACTCACATAATTAACCAGGCGAGCGCAGTATTCAAATATACCACATATTGTCCAGAATATTTGTCAGTTAAATACCGACTTCTTTCTTGCAAATTTTTATTTTTGTTATTTTCATCATTAGAGTTTTGTGGAGGAATCCATGCTTGATGTTTTCTATTTCAATTTGAATGTTATATTTAAAAGACAGAGACAATATTATTATTTGTTTTTATTATTATTTATTATTATCAATTGTTTAATATATATATATATATATTATTATTATTATTATTATTAGAAAAGAAAAATATTAAATAAAATAATTTACATATAACCATCTTCAATTTGATCTGATAAAAATTCATCACAAGGTATGAATTTTCCACCTTCACCTTCGTAAAACCAGGAAGCTCTCACAACTTGATATATTGGTCCAATCCAATATATCTGTTAAAAATAATAAATAAATTAGACAATAATTTTAAATTTTTAAAATTTTTAATAATAATTTTAATAAAATTTATACATACTGGACTAATCTCTCTAGAATCTAAATCCACTTCAAACAAATGATCCTCACTACAAGTAACTTTCATGCCACTAACGCGTGATGAATAAGCAGACTCTAGTATTGCGGAATCATGCTTTGAAAATGGAATCCATTCCATGGGACATTCTTCTGCTTCCTCACCTCCTTGATTGGAATGGAAAGGATCCCATGATGGAACATCAATTGCTTGAAACCTTAAATGAATATTTTAATTATTTTAATGAAAAAATTAATGCAATAAAAAAAAATTAATGCAATGAAAAAAATTAAATCCAATAAAAATTGATGCAATGAAAATGAAATCATTGTAAAGAATAAATTACCAGCGAACAGGGGGTACTTTATATTCATAACCTTGACAACTTAATGGAGGAATAGACATTATTTTGTTTATAAATCAATTTTGATCTTAAATTATTCTAAAATTATTATTCTCTAATTATAAGAATAGATGAATTAGATAAAAATAGCTATGTAATAAATAGATGAAATAGATGAATGATAAATGAGATAAATGAAAAGAAAGTTTAGATGATAATTTTTTAATAAAAAAAAAAAAAAAAAAAAAAAAATATTATTTATATTTATGTGCAATATTTATAAATTGTTATTTTATTGGATAATAAATATTTTGTTTTTGTCGATAGTCACCTGTGTCATACCTGTCGAGTAAAATTTTTATCATCATTGAAATCCATATTTGTCACCTATTATCTGTCACCCAAATGCAAATAATGCAGGTGAGACAAAAAACAAACCCCTAAATTATTGTATTTTTTTTTTTATAACAAAAAAAAAAAATATTGCATTGTTCTCCAATTTTTCCGTCGACTAAAGACTAAGTTCTTTCTTTAAATAGAAAAATTCAATTGATTAAACAACAAACTATTGATTTTTTATTAATTTTGTTAATTTTATAAATTTTTGATTAATTAATAAATTTGAAAATGAAAGATACCAAATTATTGGAAACATTATCCAATGATTACAGTTTACTTCTTGAATCTGGTGAGCTTGTTGATGTTCAAATTCAAGCTGGCGAAGACTCAGACCCCAAAAATTTTTATAAGGCCCATTCAATAGTTTTATGGTCTCGCTCAATATATTTTCGTTCTGCATTATCGGAAGTCTTAGAAAATAATGCAAATATTCCTATTTCTATTAAAATTTCTCAAATTAATCATAAATTATTTGGAATTCTTCTTAAGTAAGTTAAAAAGTTCAAGTTGTACCATTTTTATAAATATCAAAGTTTTAATTTTGACATTATTTAATAAATTAATTTATCTATAAATTATTATCCAATAAATAAAAAACTAGGTACATTTATGATGGTACTATTGACCTTGAAAATATCGAATTTCAAGATATTTTATATCTTATGTTGGGAGCTAATGAACTAAAGCTTTTAAATCTTGTAGATTACTTGCAAGAATATTTATCAAGAAATAAAAATATTTTAAAAGATCATTTTTTCTTTATTAATAGAATATGCAAGGAAAAATTCAAAAAATTAGCTAGTTTATGTGACATTATTTTAATACAAGAAACATTTGCTATCTTAAATTCTCCAGAAATCCTATCTATAAGTCAAGAAGAGCTTTTACACTTTTATGCAAATCTTCCTACCACTTGCAATTCTTTTTCTGAAATTATATTATGGGAAAAGCTCATTGACTGGGCAATTGAACAATTGAAAAAAGAAAAAACATCTCATTTGGAAATTGAGAATAATTCACTCTTGAGAAATTCTCCTCCTGATACCATCATTACTTCACCTTTTGATAATTCAAAATTAACTGATGAAGATCAATTCATTCTAAAAAAATTGATAGAACCTTTTATTTCTTTCATTAATTTTAAAATCATTAGTAAGAATGAATTTTTACAAAAAGTTCGACCTTGGAAAAATATTTTAAATGATAATTTTTATATTCAACTTTTGGAATATCATACTTTTAATAATATACAACAACAAATTCCTCAACATTCTCAACTTAATATTCCATCTTCTCATCCTCATAATTCCTTCAAAGAACCTCCAAAAATTGATTATTATCAAGAACCTCTTTCATCTTCTCAGTTGTTGACACAATTGGCACAGTTGTCAGAGTTACAACAATTGCCACAATTGCCGCAATTACCAGCTATTAATTCTTCTCATAAATCATTTGTTCCAAAGTCAATCACTTCCAATTTTTCATCACCACCAGAAATAGAAGAATTAGACAATAATTCAACTATAATTAATGCCGATCACTTTAAACAAATCAATAAATGGATTAACAAAGTATATGGGAGAAAACAAGACGCATATTATGATTTTAATATATTAGTACGAGGATCAGTAAATGGATTTACTCCTGAAGTCTTCCACGAATATTGTGATAACAAAGGAGCTACCATATCTCTCTTAAAAGTAAAAGGTGAAAACAAAGTTGTTGGTGGATATAATCCAAAAAGTTGGATTACGCCTGAAGAGGACAAACATAAATATACAGTCACCAAACTAAGCTTCATATTTTCTATAGATTTGGATAATAATGAAAATTCGATATTTAGCAAAGTGGAAATATATCAATTTGCAGTACTTAACAAAGGAGACATTGGTCCTTCTTTTGGCAGATTTAATGATTTGGTGGTATGTGGAAAAAATTTCAGACATTGTAGATGTAAGAAAGCTGCTTATGAAACACAAATTAGAGAAGATAATAAATTTGGAATTGAAGAACTTGAGGTGTATAGTGTTATCAAAAGCATTATTTGATTTATATTCTTTATGTTGAAATTTTTTTATTTATTTATTTTCAACATATTTATTATTTCTGTATTTTTGAACTATTCAATTTTTGAAATTTTGAATGTATTTTTTTTTTTTTTTTGTAAATATGTATGTTTCTGATCATTAGATTTTTCTCTCTTTTTAAATATTTATTAAAAATTTTTATTTATATGACCACCAGAATTAAACAATGAAAATAGGATTTATGAACATTTTTTTTAATATAAGACATATTTATATTGTACAAATTACAGATTATGTACTTGTAACTTTAATAATTCAATATTTCAACAAAAGGAAAATCCAAAGTCGATGAATTTTTTATGTACACATTTTTTGAAGGAATAGATTCATTTACACATGATTTGAATATTGTCATTTGTGCTTCACACTCGAACCCCAAATTTTAAATTGGCTTTGAGATTATTTGAAATTCTTTTGTGTAATTTTTTTTCTTGACAAGATATTTGATTTGGGAGATTTATTTTTAATTTATTAGAATTTATTAGAATTTATTAGAATTTATTAGAAATCACGCCCAATATCTTTTTTGATTAAAAATAAAACTATCTAATATTTCGATTATTTCGATAATATTAGATTATAATATATTATGTAATCAATAATTCGATTGGTAAATGTATTTATTATACATACAGAAAACATTTTTTATCTAAACCTTTTCAGTTCTTATCTTTAACATAACCATTGTTGTGTGACATTGAACAAAATTTAGAGGATCTTTTAACGGGAATTTTGTAAGCTTAATAAATCACTAATGTCTTCATTCCAATCATTTTTCTTTAATTAATTACGTTCATACATGAATTATTCAATTGAAGGACGTCCAGAATTGAAATAATGTAAGAAAAATAAATAATACTTCGAGTTATACATTTGTATTGAATAAATTTATCATATTCTATAAAAAAATTTATTTATGTCAGCTGCGGCTCTAACGCCCGTACTACGACGTCATAACTTTAAGATTCTAAATTAAGAAAAAATATTTGACAATGGAAAAGCTTCCGGATGATTGTCTTTCACAGGTTTTTTATTTCTTGTTAGATGATAAAACTTCCCTACACGCTTCAATCTTGGTGAATCGAAAATGGTGCAAAATAGCTATCAACTTCTTATGGAGAAGGCCATTCTATTTTGTGTTGGCAGATAAAAACACAATTAACTATACTTTTAGTCGACGTAAAAGGACCGGAATGCTTATGGAAGTCATCTTGTCTTGCTTGACAAGTGATGAAAACTCGAACAATAATAATATTAAGAAAATTTATAATTTAAGAAACTCGTCACGAGCATCAAGAGAAAGGGTAATTATTGAAAAAGGTCCTATCTTTAATTATGTTGGATTCATTCGACAACTTGACCTTGATGATTTAGGACTTGCAATCGCAGAATGGGCTGAATATTGTTGTTCTCAAGATTCTAATATTAATAATGAAACATCTTTACAACGAAATGTAACATTTGCTACTTTATTATCACGTAGAATTACAAGAAATTCAATTTGTAAAAGCTTTAAAAACAACAAATCATTCATCAAAGAAATTGCCGAAAGAATTTGTAAAATTTTGGTAACAAAAATTTCCAGAATTGATTCACTTTCGGTTAAACCTATATGTCTTTCGAGATGTATAGAACCTTCTATTATAATTAGGGATCACCTTGTTGAAAATTCCGTTTACAAAAATATTATTAATGAATATATGGGATTTATTACATACCCTGGTGCAAATGATTGTTTGTCTAAGCTCTTAGAATTTTCATGGAATAGCTGCTCAAGATCAATTCAAGTTGTAAAAGAACTTTCATTGGTGACATCCAGTGTAAAAAAAATATCATTTGACATAAAAAATAATGTAGAGATTTTAGTTTTTGATGCCATGATATCATTGATCGCAGCACAAACAGCATTAACGGATTTTGAGATTTCTAACTTCGAGATAACTAATTCTATTTTGATGGAAACTCTCGCAAGACATATGAATACCTTGACTCGATTATCTTTTAATTGTATAAATATTTCTAAATCGGAAAACATTTCAATCATAATGCAATTTAAAAAGTTAGAAGAACTTGAAATTATTAGTTGTAAACTTGAGAGTAGAGAACCTTGGCCATTAAATTTAGAAAATTTTCCTAATATGATTGTATATCGAATAGATGATGTATTCCCAACAACTATCGCAATGAAAGATAACAACGACTCAATGTTAGGAAATTTAGGTACTATGTTGAATACTTTCGTGTATAATCAATTTCAGTCTTATAATTCGGAAACCACCAGATCAATCATTGAGAATATCGAAAATTGTACTAATTTGACACATTTTGAATGTGATGCGGAAATTGATTCAATTAATCTATTAATGCCAATTTTTTTATTATCGACACGGCTTCAGACGATTATTATCAAGAATAGACGACGTTCATTAGATATGAATGAAATGTTGAGAGCTGTTCGATTAACACGATTGAGTCATTTAGAACTCGAAGGATATTGGCGATTTACATCAGATTCACTGGAAACCTTTCTCATCAATTCAAATCCATTGCTTAAAACCTTATCATTACATTATTCAAATTGTTTTGAAGATGATCACCTTGAAGTTTTATTAAGAAATTTAAGTGGAGTATTGCAAAAGATTGATTTGAAAGGAATGACAAAAAGGTTGAGTTTCGATATGAGGAAAAAAGCACATCGAGTTGTTAAAGATTTTTATTATGGAAAATAAAAGATATGATATGAAATGAAAATTTTCTTCTTTTTTTTTATCATAAAATCATTTTCAAGATTTATTTTTCGTCTTCCCTATCAATATCAACAAAAAGTACAAAATTTTTATTTATATTAGATTTTATTATTTTTTTTCTACACTAAAAATTTGATTTTATTTATGCTAATGGGTTATCGAGTTAAACGAAATAATGGGTGATTGCGAAATTTAATGTATCAACAATTTGTGAAATATTTTTGATTAATGAGCAAAATAAATTTTAAATTAAATATAAATTAAATCTTCAAATTTCTGCGTGATCTAATTGATCCGGAACGTTTGAGAACACATAATAAATTTAATATTATTAAATTGTAATTTTAACATGAGATTGTAAAGAAATGTTCTAAAATTCATATTCTATAATTGAAAATCAAAGATTTTTAAAATCCAATAAATAAATTATTAAATAAATAAATTATTATTAAATAAATAAATTTTTAAATAAATAAATAAATAAATTTTTAAATAAATTTTTAAATAAGTTATTAAATAAATTATTAAAATACATATATATTATATTATTAAAATATGACTTATATTAAGTGTGAATACTTTCTATTGGATGAGTCAAAGCCTTGACCTGCACAGCTTCACTAATTCTATCTCCAAGTAACCAATTTAATGTTGCTAGAAATCGAGCATCCAAACCAACATAATAAGTATTCTTTGGGAAAGGAGCAGTCAATGCGTGCACAATGGCATCAGTTACTATATCTGGTGGAGCAGCTTTGATGACAAAACTTTCGCCCCATTTTCCTACCATCCTGTACATATTTTCATATGATTTAATGACATTTGAAGTGATACTATGTGGAATAGCATAATAACGAGAATTTGAAGGAAATGATGTGAAAGAACGATAATTTTCAATAATTTGGTCACTTAATCGAGTCGAAATAATACCTATAATATGATGACCGTAAATTCCAAGTGTACTAAATTTGAAATATTAAATATTTAATAAAATCGCTAAATTACCTGGCTCGATTAAAGAAAAGTGCACCCCGGTTGATCTAGCCTCCATTCTCCAAATACGAGTCAGTGCTCTAACGGCAGCTTTAGTAGAGGCATAAACCCCCATAAAGGGTGAAGCTTCCCAAGAAGCAATACTACCAATGTTAATAACACGACCACGATCTTCTCTTAATAATGGTAAAAATTTTTTTGTTACATTCACAATTCCAAAAAAATTTGTATTGAAACTTTCAGCATAAGCATCTTCTGATGCCACCTCAAGTGGTAAATATCTAACAAATGATGCATTATTGATTAATCCAATGAATGGGATTTCATGACCAACACGTGATTTAACAGCCATGTGTGCATTTGAAATGTCGTCTTTTTTAGTGACATCCATAATTAGTGTGTGTAAAATTCCTCCTTTGGGATTTTCGAATTGTTTGAAATTTTCTTGTAATTCTTTAGCATCTTCCTCTCTGCGAATAGTAGCGAAAACAGTATAACCACGAATAGCCAAGGTGATAGCAACATTACGACCAATTCCAGATGATGTTCCGGTTACAAGAACAGCTGGATGAAAAGTTTTTGTGGGTAGGTGAACTTGAAACGGTTGTTGCTTAAAGACTCGAAGGAATATAATACTTAAAAAGGTATTATAAGCATAAGTAATGTAGTCTATTACTTGACTCAAATATACACACACTTCATCGAACAAATTACCGACCGACATTTTAAATTTCCCGAAAATATTATTATTGTGAAAAGAGCAAACCAAGGAAAAGAGAACTTAATTTTTCCATATTTTCATGTGAGGGGATGAGTGATCTGTGTCACCATTATGAAATTGTCCATCAATGTCGATCCCAAAAGTATATTTTTTTTTTCAAATTTTTTAAAAAATTTCAAGGGTGAATTCTGGCACAACGAATAATTTAAATTGCACAACCTTTTTTTTAAAAGAATCCCCAGATCAAGGGATATCGTATTATATCTTATTTATTCAAATTAGATGCGTTCTAAATAAAATTAATCAAAAATATTAAATTAAAATATTAATTGTAATTTCTTTTGATTTTAGTAATTATCTACTGGAAGTATTTACTATCTTATAAGAAGTTGTAGCTCTATACTAAATCTACGACTTTAATTAGTACCATATTTCATGTTTTCTAGTTAAAATCAGAATTTTACTTAGACATGACTAAAAAATGATCAAAATTATTATTGATCATTTACTGTTTAAAGAAAATTATCAATTGTTGTTACATATAAAACATTATTTTATACCACTAAAATCTTATCTTAAAAAAAAAAAACTCTCTCCTGCATCTGACAAAATTGAAAAAAAAAAAAAAAAATTCAAAAAATTCGAAAATCTTATGGAAGCAAGAGACGAAAAAATTTTTCTAGGAGTTCAACCTCCAGAGGGAAACACTTCGACATCCAAAGCCTTAGCAGTCCT